GTTGGTGTTGTTTGAGTGCTAAGTAACTAGAGGTGTGAATGTGAGGTTTCGTTAAGGAATAATGGGAATGATTGAATTTGGTTTCGAGATCTCAGGCATGAGATAGTCGTGTTGTGTATTTTGACGAGGTAAGAATTAAATTGAATGATGTTATGGAGTTGTCTACCTGGTATGGATGTGATAAGGAGATCAAAGAGCTTGTATGCTGATTGATGATTGTGGTATTTGGTGTCGTATTGCTTTTAGCTTGTTATGATTGTGTGATTATGGCATGATTGGGATTCTTAGAGTATGTATATGACTGTGTAGTTGTTGAGGTTACGTAGAGCGATGGATTGATAGTGAGTGGATCTTATTGTTGTTTTATGGACTGTGTGAGATTGTGTTTGAGGTTTGGACCTTAGGACAGGAATGACGTCTGTGTTGAGGTTGGATCAATGATGAGAATGGCCTGGCCAACCATTTCTCCTGAGTCAGTCCATCTTTAGCACGATGTCGGGTCAAAGGTCCATGATTGTTTTAGTTTGTCAGAAACAGTAAGAGCACGGAATTACGGATTGTGTCGGTGTGATAGTGTGGATTCAGGTGGTTTGTCTCGGTGACGATGTGTGTTAGGTGGGACCAAGTGTCCAATCCATTTGATTACTAAGGATCTTGTTTCGAGGATTTGTGTCTTGGGTACAGGATAATGCACTTTACTAATTGGGTGACAAATGTCTATGCAGTTATTGGGAGAATTATTGTTTAGTCATCTTGAGGTCGATAAGTATAGTGATTGTCATATAATACGATTAGTAGTTATTGGTACGGTTATGTGGTGGTGTAGCTACGTACTAGATAGCAAATGTTTGGTCTGTCAGGGACGTGTAGATTAGAGTTGAGATGGATTGAGAGATGGAAGGGATTTCTTGTTTGGGGTTTAGTGTGTCCCTTAGAGGATGAGTTGGGTTGGACGTTGTTATGTCCAGTGGTCAGGCAACCATTCATTTCTCAGATTTTGGAACCTTTTCCTGACTGTGTAGAGCAAACTAATGTTCGTTTTGAGTCAGACATAGAGCCTAGTTGGTCTTATGTAATAATGAGGTGAGAGATGGGTACCGCATTAGGTTTTAATGGCAGTGGTATGCGATTGCCTGGTGACGTCCGGTGTTAGAGGCAATAAAATTGGTGAATTCATGGTCTTGGGTTTTGTGAGGTTTCTCAGGTAAGTGTGTGGCTGTGGACCTTTTTCTTAAGGAGGGTAGATTTCGATGATGAAATCTCTTTAAGGATAGTAGATTGTGATGTTTCTGAATTTCACCATTTCCCATTTTTCCGGAGTTTTTGTTGTTGTAAGGGCATTTTCGTCTTTTGTCGTTTTACGAATCGGACACTGTAAAGTGTGCCGGTTGTGTCAAAAAATTGTTTGGGACATTTCATAGAGTCCAGGACTCTTTGAAATGCAAGGGTGACCATTTTCACATTTTTTTAGTTTTTCGGACCGGATGGCTCCGTGTGAGACCCGCTACCGGAACTGTTACTTACGGGGTTTTTGTTTGGGTCGATTAGCATCATATCAATTTTATTAAATGTATTTTATGTGGTTGCAAATTAATATGTACATGTGTGTATACATATGTGTGTAGTGTAAATTAAAGATAAAGGAAAAAGGAAAAAATAAATAAATAAATAAATCTAAAAGGAGATGGGACCCCACCATTAGGCCATTTAAGGCCTTGAGACCACCAGTCTCTCATTTCTCACCTCTCTCCCGCTGGATGCTCTTTTCCTTCTCTTTCTTGAATTTTTTCTTTTTCTTTGAGCTTTAATTTTGCTCCTCCATTTTTCGGCCGATTGGTCGGGATTCCAATCTTGGTTCCTTGATGGAAAATGTTTCTCTCGTTGTTTTCTATCACATAGTCAAAGGATTTAATTTTCTGAGGAGCGGTGATTATTTTATGAATTTTTGAAATTTTTGGATTTAAGGCTTCGGAGGGGGTTTTGAGCCACTTAAAGTCGGATTCTAGAGCTGACCCTTTGGAATAGTAGAATCTCCTCGTCGACGGCTACATTCCCACCGAACAGTTTTTCGTTCCGCCGCTGTTGACCAGCGTTGACTTTTGTTGAAACGGCGTTGACTTTTGTTGACCGGCATTGACTTTTCCGGCCGGGGATATTTTTTAGCTACTTTTGAGGTAGGGTGCTCTAATTCACAATTTCTTAGGTTCTATGTGAATTTTCCTTCTTAAATTGACTATAAGAATGTTTAATTTCAATTATTTTGACTATGTGATTGTAGTAGATTATATGTAAAGTGGTGGACGTATGTTATGTGATAAATGAGTCTATGAATTTAGTTACATCCTTGTAAAGAAGAAGCATGCTTAGAAATGACAAGTTGTTTACTTTATGTATTTCAATTGCCATGGAAATTTGATGTCATAATCGTAGAAATAAATGTTTAAAATATTCTTTTATAAGTTGTGATTATGATATGGGTAAAATGTATGAAATATAGTTGTTGAATTTGGCATTTGAAATCATGAAGCATTTGTGCATCTATTAGGAAAGAAAAAGGGGAAAAGTATATTTTTTTATAAAAAATCAATGAAATTGTTTGGGGAAAATTTTTTGAAAAATGTTTGTGAAAATCAGGACACCTAAGAGGCGCCTAGTGGTCCGTGGTGTTAGTGTGGTCTAGAGAGGGGACTAGAGAGAGACCCTAGTGTGGTTGAGCTAATCAGGCCGGATGCAACGCCTTGGAGGTGTCTTGTGGTCGTGGATGGTTAGCCAATCCCCCTTTCGTGACGCCTTGGAGGTGCCTTGGGTCGGATTACATTAACAGTTTGGAAGTTGAAACGGTATGGTTTCGGAAACGGGAAGTGACATTGCATGGCATTGCACATCATTGGCATACATGGTGCATTTGGTAATTAGTTGAGATATGTATGTTTGTTGATGATACAATGGTTTTACTTAACCCCCGAGATATGATCCCGTTCTCTTACTTTCTATTCCCTATGTGGATTCACATGGTCATAAGAGGTATATCTTAGACACTTCCTACTGAGCGTTTAGCTCACCCCATCATTTTAACATTTTTCAGGTTACGGGAAGGAAGTAGCGGATGACATTCCTCCACAGGTTTTGATGGGTTAGTAGACTATTTGACATATTTTGTAGCTATGGTCTCATTTTATTTATTATTTTTATTATTTATAAACTGGGATGACACGTATATTATGTATTGATATAGGAAAGGAGGGTAACATTTTTAGTTGACCTCGGGTTCGAGAAAGGACCCAGTTAGTGATTCGGACCCTCGGGTTCGGGTCGTTCCACCATTACTATCCTTAAGTGTGGAATTTATAGTAAATCAATATCCCAAGTCAATTTGCTTGTTCAAGAAACACTGCAAGGGAGGTGCATACCTGAAGAGACCATTCCTTAAGGTAGCACCAAGAACCATAACTTCTATTGATGATCGAGTAGCAAATTTAATTAATGCTTTGGCTACATCTGTATCTTCTTGCACGATGCTTTGGTATTCTATCTGTTGGCATAATTGGGTGACACAAAGAGTAGAAGTTAGAATACAAAGAAAATTAAGTTGATGACTTACGTGAAGATGTGACTGCTAGTGGTCTAGGGCCTTGGTATATCTTTATATTATGTAGCTAGATTGACTACAAGCTTTTATTATTATTATTATTATTATTTATATATTTATTATTGCTCTTTTTTTCTGAGGCAAATTCTGATAGGTCATGGTAATATTACCTTTCCCTTCTAATTATGATGGAATAATAAGAACTTGGAAACTCACATCTTTACGGGTGCAGAAACAACGGAAGCGGAGGAAGAGTTCCTTATTTAGTGTATCAGAATCTCTGCATACTGATCCATTTTGATTACTGAGATCAGAATTCTGGTTCAACCCTGCATCCAAGAAATAGATTGAGGTGATTCTTTTTTATCACATGATACGAAATGTGCAAATGTCAACCAGATTCAAGAAAAAAGGCGAGGGACTAATGCTGCAGATTCATTGTAGAACTTGTGTTGAAAATTTATCGGAGTGAAATCTAGTAGATTATAAAATCGATTAACGTCTTTACATGCTGATGATTATAATTTAATTACCCGTGGATAGGGGAAGATCGTTAAAGTAACGTGCTATCTCATAAGATTGAGGTAGGCTCTACAGACTAAGATAAGGACTACGACTAAGATAAGGATTACAGATTACGATAAGAATTGCAGAATACGATAAGGATTAGACCAATAGATTATGATAAGGATTAAGGACGACATGAACGCTACGTAACATCCTGAACCAAGTCCTATAAATAGGGAGGGCTAATCGATGTTTGGAGGTAGGCAAAAAACCCTAACTCAATATCTCGATTTCTCCAGAGAGATTATCATTCACACTGACTTGTTCGTCGGAGCCTACTCCACCGGTAACACACCGGTGTTTGTAGGATCACTTTTTCTTCTCTTTATTTAGGAAGTCAGATCAGATCCGGGTTGCGCAGAATCCATCTTCAACAGTTGGCGCCGTCTGTGGGAACTTATTTTTATTCTCTAAACAAAGCATGGTTCTATTGCGATCTGGTCTGGCTGCTGGTGAGGGCGAAGGGTTGCAGGCTTCTGATGCAGGGACTTCAACGGGGCAACCCCCCGTCGTCCCAAATGATCAGGAATGCGTCGCAGTGTTGGAACAACTGGTGAACCAGTTAGTCCAGCAAAATGCGATGATTCTACAACGCTTAGCCGCCCCCAACGAGGAGAGAAACAGTGAAGTACCCAACGATGACTCCCGTAGGGTTAACAACGATGTTGAGCTTAGTTAAATAGGGGGTCAACAGAGGAGCCATCACCATCGGTCCCCTGAACAGAATACCACCAGGCTCCGTGGAGATACTTCTAGTTATGTTGGAGACAAGACTGAGGACGCCACTCAGTTCGATCTAGAGTTGTAGGATCTGAAAGCCAAGGTTGACGATGTCATGCAAGCGATGAAAGGGAAGGGCCAGGCTGCAGTGAACGATATGGTACAAAAGACTAACCTAGCTTTTAGCCCAGCTGTTATGAGTTGTCCTCTACCTAGCAAATTCAAGATACCAACTCTTGAGAGCTTCGATGGGACGCGGGACCCTCTCGACCATTTGGAGACCTACAAAGCTCTTATGTATTTGCAAGCCGTACCGGACGGGATTATGTGCAGGGTTTTCCCTACCACACTCAAGGGTTGGGCTCATCTCTGGTTCAATAAATTAAAGCCAGGCTCCATTGAAAACTTTGAAGAGTTGAGCAAACAATTCATAGAACACTTCATCGCTGGGCAGAAGCACAGGAAACCAGCAACACATTTACTTAATGTGAAGCAGCAGAAGGGAGAGTCCCTTCGTGATTACATAAGTCGTTTTAACACTGAAATGCTGCAAGTTGAAGAGGTGGACGACAAGGTTGCCCTCACAGCCTTTATGGGAGGACTACAGACTTCTAAGTTCCTATTTTCCTTATCAAAGGAAGCCCCTACAAGCATGACAGAGTTGATGGTTAGAGCGCGGAAGCACATGAACGCTGACGATGCTATGAATGCACGAAAAAACAAAGATGGTGAAGATAAGAGGTCGGATAAGAAGAGGCTAACACCTAGCACTAGGGAGGAAAGGGAATTGAAGTACAAGAAATTCTCAAACAACCAGGCTGACAGATCGTTTCGCCGCCCAACGAGCCCAGGCAGGTATAATAACTATACCCCCCTAAATACATCTGTAGAGTAAGTCTTTCTGCAGATTCAAGATGACGCATCATTGAAATGGCCACCAAAGCTAAAAGCTGATCCAACAAAGAGGTCTCAAGATAAATACTGTAGGTTTCACCGGGACCATGGACATAACACAGAGGATTGTTTTGACCTCAAAAACCAGATTGAGAACCTTGTTCGTAAAGGTCATTTATGCAAATTCACAACTAGAAATGGAAAAGGAGGCTCCAACCCAGCCCGGGAGGGCCGAGATGATCGCCCTCCTCAACACCAACCAATGGGTGAGATCAAAGTTATATCGGGTGGCTTCACTGGTGGTGGTGAGACGAGTTCAGCTCGGAAGGCTCATGCTAGAAGAATTCGGAGTTTTTCAGAGGTGAATGAAGTTGGAATGACAAGTCCTCCAACCAAATTACCTCGAGTTGAGGAGCCGGTCATAACCTTTTCTGAAGAAGATGACAAGGGAATTCACCAGCCCCATGATGACCCTCTGGTAGTTTCCATGGTCGTTACTAATTTCACTGTTCGACAAATACTAATAGACAATGGTAGCTCGGCTGACATACTATTTCTTAGGGCGTACGAGAAATTGAAAATTGGCCGAAATAAGCTCCGACCCATGAAGTCACCACTGGTGGGATTTTCAGGCGACAAAGTATATCCACTGGGGGCAGTTACCCTTCCAGTTACTGCAGGAGCCAATCTAAAGCAGGTCACTGTAATGGTGGACTTTGTAGTGGTGGACTGCCCATCATCATATAATATTATCCTGGAGAGAACGACATGGAATGCTATGAAAGCAATCATGTCCACTTACCATCTCCTGATGCATTTCCCAACTGAATATGGTATGGGAGAGATAAGAGGGGACCAAACAATGGCTCGCGAATGTTATGTCGCCTCTCTCAGAAAAATAAAATCGCAAGAGGCATTTATGATTGAAGGGCTGGAAGGGAAAGATAGACCAGACTTTCATAGAGCGGAACCTACAAAGAAGCTAGAAGAGGTCATCCTTGGTGAGCCCAAAAAAAAAGTGAGTATAGGGTCTTTACTCCCCCCAGGTATCAAAGATGAACTTACTCAATTCCTCAGGAAGAATCAAGACGTATTTGCATGGGTACATGAAGACATGCCGGGTATAGACCCCACTATCATGGAGCACCGCCTAAATGTAAATCCTGACTTCAAACCTGTCAGACAAAAGAGGAGGACTTTTGCTCTAGAAAGGAATTAGGTTATATCAGAAGAGGTGGAAAAGCTTTTAAAAGCCGACTTTATTCAAGAGGTGTACTACCCCGACTGGCTGGCAAATGTGGTCCTAGTGAAGAAGGCAAATGGAAAATGGAGGCTATGTGTGGATTTCACCGACCTTAACAAAGCTTGCCCGAAAGACAGCTTTCCTCTCCCAAGAATCGATATGCTCATTGAGGGAACGGCTAGACACGAACTATTAAGTTTCATGGATGCATATTCTGGATACAACCAGATATCTATGTACACCTCAGATAGAGAAAAAATGGCCTTCATCACTGATAGAGGTTTGTACTGTTACAAAGTAATGCCGTTTGGGCTCAAGAACGCTGGTGCAACATACCAGAGGCTAGTGAATGCAATGTTTAAGCATCAAATTGGTAGAAACATGGAGGTATATGTTGATGACATGTTGGTGAAAAGCTTAAAAGCTGAAGACCATTTGACTGACCTGCAGGAGACCTTCGAGGTACTTAGGAGTCCTAAGATGAAACTCAACCCCAGCAAGTGTGCCTTTGGGGTTTCCTCAGGAAAGTTCTTGGGATATATGGTAAGCAGAAGAGGAATTGAGGCCAATCCAGAGAAGATCCGAGCAGTCATTGACATGAGATCGCCAAGATCAACCAAGGATCTACAACGACTAACAGGGAAGATTGCTGCCTTGAGTAGGCTAATCTCTCGGTCAACTGACAGGTGTCTACCTTTCTTTCGTGTGCTAAGGAAGACTTTTGAATGGACCCCAGAATGTGAGCAGGCATTCAAAGAACTAAAGCAATACCTTAGTTCTCCCCCACTACTATCTCGAACCATACCGGGAGAGGAACTATACATATACCTTGCAGTCTCGACAACAGCTGTCAGTTCAGCTCTGATACGAGAAGAAGAAGGGGTCCAAAGGCCAGTATACTTCGTGAGCAAAGCACTTAGGGGTGCGGAGGAAAGATATCCAAGGATGGAACAGTTGGCCTTTGCTTTAATTGTGTCCGCCAGGAAACTGAGACCATACTTTCAAGCGCATACGATAGTGGTCCTAACAGATCAACCCCTTCGACAGGTCCTACATAAGTCAGAAAGCTCTAGTCGACTGATGAAGTGGTCAGTAGAGTTAGGAGAGTTCGACATTCAGTATAAGCCAAGAACAGCAGTAAAGGCTCAGGTGTTAGCTGATTTCTTAGCTGAGTTTACCCCTCCAGAAGAGGAGAAACAACCCCAATTTTTGACAGAACCAAGTTTAAGTGAGCAGATGGGCCCAGAAGTAGTCTGGGACTTGTTCGTGGATGGGTCATCTACTGCTCAGGCTAGCGGAGCCGGGCTTGTTCTTGTCTCCCCAGAGGGAGAAAATATACAGTACGCACTTCGGTTTGGTTTCAAAGCAACCAACAACGAAGCAGAGTACGAAGCCTTGATAGCAGGATTAAAAGTGGCAAATGCCCTAGGGGTTGAGCAATTAAAGGTGTACACCGACTCCCAGCTGGTCGCTGGACAAGTTCAAGCGGAATATGAGGCACGAGACGAGAAGATGAAGAGTTATCTACAAAAGGTGAAGGAATTAAAGAATCACTTCCAAAGATTCTCAATTCATCAAATACCACAAGAAGAGAATGGGAAAGCAGACGTTTTAGCCCGGCTAGCTACTGCATTAGAACCTGAGATCAATAAGAATATACCACTGGAATATTTGGATGAACCATCTATATCTCAGGAGAGACAAATTGAAGTGCAACAAGCGATATTGAGTGTGGAATGGGCAGATCCTATCATCAGATATATCAAGGATGGGGTGCTACCAACAGACCGAGCAGAAGCTCGAAAGGTCGAGATGCGGGCAGCTAGGTATACGCTTATCAAAGGGGTGCTCTACAAGAGAAGCTTCTCCATGCCGTATTTACGATGCGTTTCTAGCGAGGAAGCTGACTACATTTTGAGGGAGATCCACCTAGGAGTTTGTGGAAACCATGCTGAGGGTAGGTCACTTGCAAACAAGGCCATCTGACAAGGATACTATTGGCCCACCATGCAGAAAGATGCACTTGACTTCGTTAAAAAGTGCGACAAGTGTCAACGATTTGCCAACATCCCGAGACAACTGTCAGAGGAGATGACTCCCATGTCAAGACCATGGCCATTTGCTCAATGGGGAATGGACTTGATTGGCCCTCTCGTCAAAGGCAAAGGGCAGACTAAGTATGCCATTGTTATGGTTGATTACTTCACTAAATGGGTTGAAGCTAAGCCTTTGGCCAAGATCACAGAGAACAATATAAGGAAGTTCGTATGGAAATCAATAGTTTGCAGATTTGGGATTCCTAGAGTGATTGTCACAGACAATGCAAAACAGGTCGATAACTCTGACTTCAAAAATTTTTGTTCCAAGCTCGAGATTCAAATTCATTTCTCATCGCCAGGACATCCCTAGGCAAATGGACAAGCCGAAGTCACTAACAGAACAATCCTTCAGATGATCAAGACTCGACTTGATGCTGCAAAGGGACTGTAGCCTGAGCAGCTGCCGAGTGTACTGTGGGCTTACCGTACTACTGCAAGGACTCCCACGGGGGAAACCCCTTTTCTTTTAGCATTTGGAAGTGAGGCAGTAGTACCTATAGAGATTGGCCTAACAAGCTTTAGGACGGAGCACTACGAGCCCAAGCAGAACGAAAGGGAGTTGGAAGTAAGCTTGGACCTAATCGAAGAAAGGAGATACCTAGCCCAGATTAGGATGGCTACCTATCAACAGAAGGTTTCCAAGTATTACAATGCTCGGGTCAAGCCTAGGAGGTTCTCAGTAGGAGATTTAGTACTCCGCAAAGTTACTCAGGCAACTAAGGATTCAACCATAGAGAAACTAGGTCCCAAATGGGAAGGGCCTTACAAAGTTACGCGATGTCAGCGACCAGGAACATACTAGTTGAAGGACTTAAAGGGAAAGCCACTGCCTCACCCATGGAATGTTGAGCATCTAAAGAAATATTATTAGTAAACAATTTCAGTTTAGTCTCAATTTATTATTTATTTTTGCTAATACTTCTAGTTGCAATAATTACTTCATTCTCTACGAATGAATGTCTTCAATAGCCTTGTTTATCAACTTTGGCTTTAATAAAGTATTCCCTATTTGGATCAGTTGTTTCAAATAATCCATTATCATTTTGATATGTTAAGATATTCATGTTAAATAGGTGAGCTAGGTGAAGCTCATAATAATCTACTTCCCTTGTTAAAGGGTGAGCTGAGTGAAGCTCATAGTAATCTACTTCCCTTGTTAAAGGGGGAGCTGAGTGAAGCTCGTATACATCTACTTACCTTATTACATAGACGAACTGAGTAAAACTCGTCTTAATCTACTTTCCTTATCAAAGGGATGAGCCGACCAAAGATGTCAATAAAATAACATAATGCGGCAGTTGCAATGGCAAAACATAATTGTCCTTCCTACTTATCAACCCTACAAATATAAATGGAAACTGATTGTAAAGAAAGAGAAGTTTCAAGCACAAAGAGAAACATGGGAGCAAATAAATGAATGGCTACACATCTATCCTATTCGGAATCACTCGCTTCACCTAGTTGAATGACAGAGAAGTCTTGGTCTGCAAATTCAAAAGCAGCACGATTCCGAAAATCTTCGAAGCCGTCAAAGTAGGCCTTCGACATAATCTCCTTGAAGGTGGGTGAGGCTTTAAACTCACCCACTGCATTGGCTCGTTCCACCATTAGTTTCTGGGACATCTCCTTATTGAGTTTTTGCACATAAGATGCATGACAAGCTCGTTCTGTTTCTAACTCAGCACACATTGCTTGTAGAGCGACCTCATGTTTATCACGTTCCACTTGTAAATCGGCTTGGTGTTGGGAGCGAGTAGAAGCCAACATATTGTTGTAATGCTCTCCTCCTTTTACAGCTAGACACAACAAGTAATACGCGTGTGTATTCACCTGTACGCATGTGGGAATAAAAAGTTATAATGAAGAGGAAAAGAAAAGCTAAATAAAAACAGAGGATGGTGCGAGAGTTAACCCATGCGATGATAAGCGCCGAATACTGTATATTCAAGCGCCCTAAATTACATTAACAAAGTCCATTAATTGATTATTTTATGTAGATTATCTCCATTTGCATATTTTTGTACATTTTCAGGTTAAATTGCAAAAAGGAAGCAAAAATGATGCCTTGTGGAATTTTGAACAAAAAGGGTGCCAATTCTGAAATTCTGGCAGCAGTAGAACCTGACTTTTGTCGCCATTTTCGACCTAGCAAACTCAAGAACTGGACTTCCATCATAGCATTAAAGATTTAGAGCTCTGAATCAGCTTTCCAAATCTTCAAGCGGTTCGTCATTCGGAGTTCGGAGCAGAGAGTTATGATCTTCTTACCAGAGGTGCGCAGAATTGCCTGGCAGCACTAAAGTACTGCCTTTCTCCCCATTTTCGACCAACTAGACTTGAGAATTGGGTCTTCATCGAAACATGAAGTTTTTAAAGCTCTGAATCAGCTCTCTAAATCTTCAAACAGATCATCATTCAGAGTTCGGAGCACAAAGTTATGGTCATTCTTCCACAGTGGGTTAGAGATGGGCAAGAATTGCATGTTGCTCATTACACTAATTTCGAGTGCTCGAGACCACCCTTCGAGTGCTCGAAATTCTGGTAGATTGCACTCGGAAATGGCTCAATTTCAGCCACTTGCACATTGGTTTCCTCAATGCCATCTTCCTTCTTTATGAAGTGGTTGGAGGTGTTCCTTGGAGGAGAGAGAGCCTTGACTTGAGCTTGATAAGAGAGAGGGAGGACCACATAGATGTTATCATTCATTCTTACAAGATTAGAGGTGAGAGAAGAGAGCAAGGAAGAGAGTGTTCATAAGTGCTACAGTAGAGCTCGAAAATGAAGTTGTATTATTCGTCTTCTTCTTCCATTTTTGTATCAATGGAGAGCTAAACCTCCATCTAGGGAGGTGATGAAGCCTCATCTTTTGATCATGTT